TAAGTGGGGTATGTATGTATGTATGTATGTATGTATGTATGTATGTATGTATGTATGTATGTATGTATGTATAAATAAATAAATAAATAAATAAATAAATAAATAAATAAATACTCATTCTAGATCTTAGGTAGCACTGGTGAGGGACTTCTGCCCTATGGAACTCATGAAGAACAACAAATGGAACAGTGCAAAAGTACCTAAGGCAGCCTTCCCTCTACTCTATGCCCTTCAGATATTTTGGGTTACGACTCCCAACATTTGTAAACAACTTGGGTCTAAACATCTATGGAAGAGATTTATAGATCCCTGCCTACATGAGACTGTTAATACACCATTACTTTATATTATAGCCTAGCAGTTGTAAACCAACTTTGGTATAAGTCATAGCAAATAAAGAGTTAAACTTATTGTGAAGGTTCCTTCTAGTTAAAAAACAGACAAGAACAAAAAAAAAAAGAATATAAAAAGGTAAGGGATATAACAACTACCTAGGATACCCACATAAATGTGAATACCAGGATATCCCCAATAATCCTAATGTGGAAAGAGAAGATCACAGCCCTGGAGAGCCTGGTGGGTTCAGCCCCTATGGACCAAAAGGAACCTTCACAGTAACAGCAATCTTCCATTCTAACTCAATGAAGGTGTGAACCTTATACAAAAAGGTTTCTAATATTTGTTTGTTTGTTATATTTTTCCCTACAGAGGACCTCAGGTGGCCCAAGCATATTAATTAATCCAATGTCAGATGAAAATGGCAGAGCGTGTCCCATATGTCTACTATGTAAATGACTGTGGGGGAGGGGGGATGAACACTGAATGAGCAGTAAATACCTCTAGTACTGGTCTATCCACAGAGTGCAAAGCCAATCACATACCCCATTACCCAGCAACTAACTATGACAACTGTGAACCACAGAACACCTTGCTCCTCTGGTCCCCTTTTCAGAACTGAAAAGGCTCACTGAAGAAACATAAAGAACCTCCTGCGACGTGCTCTAATGGGAAACTGGAAATATGTCTATGATGGTAAGGTTCCTCCAGGTCAATGAAGACCAGAGGTCACCTGGATGGATAACCTTAGCCTTCAAGAAAAGTGTTTCCATCCGGCATTTCTTTGCTTGAATGAAGTAGCTGACAATATAAGATCCAAGGTAGTCCTCTAAAAGCTGTCCCTTTTTTGACATCAAAAAGAACGTAGAGAAGAATATTTCCCTAATCCTAAATCATGAGAATATGGAGGAGGTTGAGGAAAAGAAATGTCAAAGAAAAACAATGCAAAAGAAACAAAACATAGATACTGTATAATGAAGGCCTTTTCCAGAAGCCACTCAGAAATAGCAAAAAGCTCTGCTGTTCCAATAAAGGCAGAACAAGGACAGGAGGTGGGGAGAGGTTTTCCCTTTCCTCCTGTCTATACATTGGAACTTTGTCTGCTCCCTGCCTTCTCAATAGGAAGGAGAGAACCCCTTCATGCCAGTTCCACTAGCCAATGAAGAGATATTTGTATCACATATGTGTAAAAAGTACTTTTCACTTCTTGTGTAACAAATACACAATATATAATCATATGTTTTGAAGAGAGTACAGTGGGGTCTTGACTTAAGAACGGCTCGAGTTAAGAACATTTTGACTTAAGAACCACTCTCATAGGAAAATATTGACTTGACTTACATACTTAGATTTGAGTTACAAACTGAAAAAAAACCACGTGGGAGGCAGGGAAAGTGCAAAATATGAACTTTCAGTTAACTGTTGGCCAGTGAAAAGGGTGCCTGTCTGCTTCCTCACTCCTCCCAGCGTTTAGAGAGTGGCTTGGGAGACAGTCTTCGGACTGCCTGGTACTGTACTGCCTGGACTGTATTTTCCCTGCCTTCCCTGAACCTTTCTTGACCTAAGAAAAAAAGAAACAAAATATCCCCCTCTAGTGGTCGAAGGCAGAATAGCAGCTTCCCATTAGTTTCTATGGACAGAAAAGAGCAGATACGGATCAAATGGTTTTTAATGCATTCCTATGGGAAATGCAGATTTGACCTGAGAACTTTTTGACTTGAGAACCACCTTCCAATACGGATTAAGTTCTCAAGTCAAGACCCCACTGTAATATGAATTACGAAAAATATTCTGAGTCTCTAAAATCAAAGTCCAAACATTTTAAATTAATATGGAACAGTTACTCAAAAAGGGATACTATCTATAAGAAACTGTGAATAATACTTTACAGGAGATGGAATGTCAAACAGAACTAGCCAATCTTGGGGAAAGGTATAATAATAATTAATATACAAAGAAAAACTAATTCACATACAGCTCTCTATATAGCTTGAGGGAGGTTATGTGTAGCACATCCAGTACAAAGGAACTATCTGCTTATTCTTGACATTTGTGTTATTCACAAACTCAATAGAGCAATATTCACAGTAATGTGGACAACAGTCAAGAATAATGCAAGAGGGGCTCTGGAAATAAACCTCAACTTTGTTTACAATGAGAATCAGTTAAATTTACTATTAGTTTAAATCTTTTCCTTCACAACAGCGCTGGAAAAATCCAATAGTTACCATAGATTTTTTAAAAAATATATTGCTGACCCAGACTTTAGGCTTGCAACTCCCAGAGTAGCTAAAAACATTTGTTTTTAAAACAAAACAAAACAAAAACTGTAAAAGCATAGGTTACAGCAACTAAAACTAATTTAAATGATGAGGGGTCTGAAATCCAACATCTGAGATCAAATCCAAAATTTTAGCTCCAACATTCTCTTTTGGAATCCAAACATGACATCAATGTTACGAAATTATTCTTATTCATTTAGTATTAGTGTACAGCAACATTTGTATAGTTGGCAGATACAGGAGACAGAGACAAATAATTTACTAACAGATACATTTAGTCAGAGAAAAAATCCAACACAAATGCATTAACACAGAAAATAACCCAGAGGACAGCATTCAAATTGCTTACCGAATAAAAGTCAGGTGAACTCCAAGGGATCTATGAGTCCCTGAGCAGTCAATACACAGGAAGACGCCATATGTTATGCTTGCCCAGCTTGGATTCTTCGCTCCACAGTCGAAACACGTCTAAGAAAAGCAACACACACTGCCAATTACATTAAATTTTCAAATATTTACCCAGCACACTAATTCTCATCTGATAAAACTTAAATCCAGTCAATCACTACTTCCAATCAAAATACACCCTTTTAATTAAAAGGATTCACACAAGTATTGACATACCATTCAGCAACAGTGTAGATGATCTGCTGGCTGGATAGTTCAGTAAGATGGAGTGTCAGGCTACAGGCTACTGTTCCTCCTGGCAGGAATGTCAGCCTAAGTAGCCTCAGGTAAGCTACACAATCCCAAAGCACCCCAGAAGAAGGGAATGCTAAACTATTTCTGGGTACTCTATATCTAGAAAACCCTAGAAAAGATTGTGGTAAGTCAGGTGTGACTTGACGGCACAAAATTAATTACAGTATTATTAATAATAATTGTGTGGCATCACCTTGATTCCAACTTACGGCAACTGTTTCCAGGGTTTTCTAAGCACAGAATGCACAGAAGTGGTTTACCATTCCATTCTTTTGGGGGTGCCACAGAGACTACACAGCTTGCCCAAGGCCTCACAGGCTGGCTCTTCTTTCTGGAGGCACAGCAAGTGATCAAACTCCTAACCTCTGGCTCTGCAGCCAGATACTTAAAACACTAAATTATCCATCCAATTAATTATTACTCTGCTGGAAACAGAAATTGGATTTAGGCCATGATCTAGCGCTCTCCTTACAACATGAACCTCTATTTACTATCACAGCCATTTTAGTGTTATGGATACAGACAATAACATTGTACCTTCATCATTAACAGCTGCATCCAGATTGAGAGGTTAGATTTTATTCGAATTAATGGGAGTTAATTATGTACTATTTTGTCTTATTCATTCCAATGGGACTGTTAACCTGACTGTCTGGGCCCAAGCCATGAAAGTCCAAATAATCACACTGATGCATAACCACGCACATTTACTACACTTCTATTATATATACCATATATTTCATATTATATGTGGGTAATAATGTACATTTACATGATTATTGGCCAAGATCCTATTGCCAGCATAGTGTAAATGACATAAGTTTGAGCAGCAAATTACTACAAGGCACAAAGTCAGCACAGACATTGTTATCTGCTGAGCTTTGTGATTTAGTACACAACAGATAATATATACACAAATTTCAAAATTTGCAGCAAAAGTTGCTCCCAAAATTAAACCACTTACAACCTGCCAGCAACAGGATTTTGGCCATTATATTCATTGTACAAAAACTTACTGGGGTTTGGGCAAAGTTTGCGCAATTTATGGCAGCTTATTAACAAGGCACCAGGACATGTTTCAGTCACATGCACCAAGATGCAGTCCAGGTGTGGCGTTCGCTCCTCGTGGCCCCTGTCTGACTCCCCAAACACAGAGCACACGAAGGCAAACTAATACTCCTTTTCACCCGCTGCCACCAGTTGATCACTAAATCAACATTACTTACGGAAGGATGAAGATGAAGGTCCAAACTTCACTGTCTTTTAAATAAAACTAGTTCATTGATTACAGATGTTTGATAATTAATCATATGTAACTTCTACAGGTTTATTTATCATCAGTATCAATCTTCTACATGTTATAACAGTTTTGATTCACTCTTCACTCTAATCACAGATCTCTCAAATACCACACTATCTCTCTCCACTCTCTTCTCCCTCTTGACTCTGACTGACTCTAGCTCTGCCTCTTTTACATATCTCTCGGCTCCACCTCTCAGCAACATTAGCCTGCAACATGAATATGCATGACTACTTAACATAATAAGGGTAAACGACACACCAGGACTTTGGCAATAAGCTGTGACATGTTACACAAACACACATGCATGCCAACAAGATTCTAGCCATTATATGTACCCTTTCCCCCCTAAAATAAGATATAATCTTCTGAAAATAAACCCTAGTATGATTTTTCAGGATGCTCGTACCGTAAGCCCTACCCCAGCTATAACTATCCTCAGAAATCATAACACTGAAGTTCACCTAAAGAGTAAAGACAATCTAATCTGGACTACACCAAATTTCCAGTGTGGCAGGTTGCAATCTTTCATGTGTCTCTTTCTGCCTATAGGTACTACATCAGAAAGTGCTGCAAACTCACTGTGAACAGTTCAGCTGCAATTCTATGCACATTTTACATAAACTATAAATCACTTTCATCCTCCACAAAGCAATATTATGCTGCTGAATTTTAATACTCTTTTATATATCCACATGCCAAATCAAACTGCCTGAACTTATTATAGTTATACAACCCAACGTCTGAGCTTTGGAAAACAGAGAAAAAGATTTAGATGTTCCTATACTGTATAGTATACAGTACTATACAGTAGTATATAGTATACAGTACTATACATGGTGGCATTGTGGGTTAAACCGCAGACGCCTCTGTGCTACAAGGTCAGAAGACCTGCAGTTGTAAGATCTAATCCATGTGATGGAGTGAGCCCCCGTTGCTTGTCCCAGCTCCTGCCAACCTAGCGGTTTGAAAGCATACAAAATGTGAGCAGAGAAATAGGTACCACCTTGGTGGGAAGGTAAACGGGGTTCCGTGTCTAGTTGCGCTGGCCACGTGACCACGGAAGATTCTCTTCGGACAAATGCTAGCACTATGGGTTGGAAACAGAGATGAGCCCCGCCCCCTAGAGTCGAACACAACTGGACAAATTGTCAAAGGGAACGTTTACCTTACCTTATACTGTACAGTTAATTATCTCCTGCCAGCCCACATACTTAATTTATGTTTGCCCTGCATATTTTCTTAAACTTTCATGCTGAAGATCACTTTATTGGTCTAGAAACTATGTTATTTTAAACACTAATCTTTCAAACTCAAGTGACTAGAGAACTGAATTATTTTACTTTCTGTCACCACAACTGAATGATTGTGGAATTATATAATTATGCCAGAATTGCATAAAGAAAATTGCATAAAGAAAAAGGTCTGTGGCCACTCTGCACTAAAAAAAAACCAACTGCCTGGTAGTTTGGTTTTTTAACTGCACATGATTCAGAGTTCCACCCATTCTGAAAGGTCACTGTTCAACAAGAATAAATGAAAACATCAGTTTAGTACACCCAGAATTCCTCAGCCAGCTCATCAGTTTTCAACCAAAATTCAAAGAGCACATTCCACGTTGTGCACAGAAAGTGCACTACCAGCACTGATAAAGAGAATAGAACTTTGACCATAAATTTCAGCAGAGAGGAAGAGAAAATAAGGGTTCCGAATAGCACTTTAGCATGCTATTGTTTTAAAAAAATGTAAAAAGCTTTTTTACTAAATTATTCCCCAGTGACAAAACATTAGCTAAGGAACTTTTTTATTATTTGAATCAAGAGAACCATTTAGTGAATCAGTAAATTGCCATTTGTTTCACACAACATTCAATGCAACAAATTAAGTTCGGTAGTATAGTACAATAATGTGATACAGTATTTCACAGTGAACTTAGAATGGATAATAAATCTACTTAATATCACATTCACAACTTCAAGCAGTGACACAAAGATCTTAACCCACTTTAAACATGAAGCTATTCTGTACAATGTTTCAATTTCAAATTCCAAACATTGAATGTTTAGATATTTGTTGTCCCTTTTAATTTGGTTTGTTCTAATTCCCAACAGATTTCAATGAAAGCTACTTTTTAGCAATAAAATACAATGGTAACTCAGACTGTTTTTAACCCAAGTTCTCAGAAAACATTCTGCAAACTCATTTGGAATGGAAAATATGCTTACATATAAATTGTAGTTTTGTTGTTTTGTAATGTATGACAGGGGGGAAAGTATCTACTATAATTGTGTTCTCACAGGAACTTGAAGGTTTGGGTACTGGAAAAACACAGGAAGTTACGAATATTTGGAATTAAGTTCCTATTTGCACTGTAAGTTCACTAAACGAATACTGTACTGTTTTTTAATATTTGATGCGCATATGGCTGAAATTAATGAATTATTAAGACAGTTGCTGTAGATTTTATTTCACTTGGAATTTCATGGGTCCCATCTCCAAGGAACATTTCCATACTGACAGCACAAGCTTATGCTGTGCAGCACTCAAAAAGATATTGCTTTGCTGGATCAAAAGCCGCTTGGACCAGCATTCCATTTCCAGTATTGGCTGGCCAGATGCCACTAGAAGTTCACAAGTGGGACATAATGGTAGCAGCATTTTGATGTAATTTGTTGCCATTACCTGGTGATTCCAATGAAAATAAAGTGTTCACTTAATTACCAGATTTAACAATTGGTTTATGAATCACTCTTCCCTAGGGTCCTTCTGAAACTACTCTGAGGGCACAGAGTACAACATCTTGGGATGCAAATTCAAACACTAGCATGTATTGGGAGAACAACTTTTTGCCTGAGTTTTAAAAGTCAAGAAACAGTCTGCAATATCTCGATCAGAGCAGTTCCTCTGTGTATGCTTTTGAATAGTCCTTGGACAGAACAAAAAAGAAGCTAATTCCTAGCAGCAGCTTACCAATAAAAGAAACTGTGCACTGAAGGAATTATTTCTCAGAGAAAGCAAAGTAACACTAAAAGCAAGTCATTTCAATTCTAATTTACGACATTTTTATTCTTTGCCTAAGACTGTGTCTTTCTCATTCAGGCACACACAGAATCATTGGACCAGCACAATCCATATAACACTGTAGCTGCACAAGGTGTAGTTAGATCAAGGTCTACATATGTTAAGTTTCTCCTCAGCTTCAGAGTCTTCAAAAAGTCACCCCATTAGCACAAACTGCTTTGCTATACATAGGAAGAACAACAGTTACTTTTATGTTGTTTTAGGTGGCTGAAAGCCCTTCACATATGTTATAGAACTTTGCTTGAAGGTAAGCCATAATTGTTCCCATAATGCATATGGAAACTGAGACCAAGGGACTTATCTGGAGTTAATTAAATGAGCCCACTGGTACCCTAAAACATGAGCAGAGATCTATCTGCCTCACACCTTCCATTCAGCCACTACACTATGCCAGCTAAATTAACAATGTGTTCTGTATCCAACCAAAAATCTAAAAATGCAGAATTACTAAGCACAAATGCTGAGGCATAAATTCCATAAATGGGACTTGCTTGGAAGTGAGTGTGCAGAAGACTGTCAGCTAATGGTAAAACAGACACATATGGAATGATCTGAATACACATTCTCTGCCCTAAAAACAAATAATTTAGAATGCATCCAGGAAATGTGTATTTAAGCCATTTATGACAGAGTATCGACATCTGTTTCCATTTAAAATATGCAATTCTAAGCACAATTACTCAAAAATTCCACTACTTGAAAACAAGCCACTGTAAAAACCAAAATAATTTTATGACAGAGAAAATATGGTTAAGATGAGGCCACCAAGTTAGATTAAATTCTTCATTGTGCCTGATGAAGAGCACTTAGTCTCTGGGACCAAAGGGGGGGGGGAGAAGAAACCAACACATAATAAAATAACAGGCAAAGCTCAACAGTGGAAAGCAGGCAGACAAATCTGTGGACACTAAAAACTTTAGGCGTGGCTGAACAATCACATATATTTTGTTTGAAAAGGAATGGAAAGGGGGGTGAGAGAAAAGCAGGCCACCTATGAAGTGTGGCACTATCAGAGAACTTGAACACATACAGTCTCAGAAGTCTTTCATGAAGGTCTTCATGTTATATAGTTTGAACACCATGTCATAGACATATAATTTATCATTATAAAATAACATATTCCACACTTATTTTTTGTTTCCAATTTTTTTCGGGGGGGGGGGGGAAAACTGTCTCCCAATTTTTCCTGGGTTATTTCCCCCAAGCCTTCCGATCTCTAGAAGGGCCAACTACAGAGACTTGAGAGAGCTCACGAAAGGGCCCCGTTATGACACAGCAGGAGAACACAACACCCAGCCCTCCTTCAGACGTGCGTGATGCGGAACAAGATGGGACAGGGAGAGTAAGAGTTCCGCCACAGCCGCGTTACAGATACACAAGAAACTTCCGGGGGGTGGGGGGCGGAGAGAGAGACCCGTGTTAAGACTGTCACACCAAAAGCAGCAGAGGGTCGTCGGCCTAACGTCACCTAAAGACGGAACACGTTTCACTTGGCACAAGCCTCGGGGGACAGCCTTCCACGACCGAGCCATCGAAAGAGATGGGCTGCCACCCACGACAGCCTGAGGCCAAGCAAACTGGTCGGGTCTTCCTCGTTGTTCGGGTACGCCGGAGGTATTTTTTTTAAACTATTTTTTAATTTATTTTATTATATATTTTTTTGCACGTCCTCCCTCCAAAACGAAGTTAACTTGCATGTAGCGACCACTGCTGGCTGAACCTCCGGGAAGGCGGACCCCGAACACACCACCAGCTCCGCCCCCTCGCCGGAGTGCAACGTGTCACTAACCAAAGTCCCCGAAAGGATGGGAAAAGTGGGAGCCAGGAGGGAAAGGGCTCCCTCCGCTCCCGCCTCCCCTACCTTGTTCGTCGGAACGGCGCGGAGCCGCTTGAAGACGGCGACAATGTCTTGTTTGCTGGGCTCGCACATCCTCTGCCGCCGCCGTCGCGCAGCTCAGCCGAAGCCCCTCAAGTCAAAACAAAAGCTGAAAGAAAACTGCCTCGGCCAGCGTATCCAACTCTACGGCGCCTGCTGGGAAAGGAACGCCCACTTCACACCCAGGCTCGTCCAACCAGAGGGCCCGCGGGGGTGGGGGGGGCGGAGACTCGGCATGTCCTCCGCGCCCGACGTTGACGACGCGGACGCGTAACGTAACACTACGCCTGCGCCAAAGCGGCTGATTTGTTCAGCCGGCATTGGGGGGAAAGCCCTGGCGGGACTTGGAAGCGAGGGGGAGGGGTTTGGTTTTGCGTTCTGCGAGCTGGTTGGACAGGCTCGCTCAGGATTGCCAAGGTGACGGGAGGGGGGGTGGCGTTCGGAGACCGACGGCGCTCGCCGAGCTTAACCGTAGGGCCGTCGATGAGGCGGGGGGATTGGCTTAGGGGTGAGAGCAGGGTCCCGGAACGGTCCGGTTTTCGGGTTAATAGGCTTCGAAGGGCAGCTTATGCTCGTGGAAGACAACATGGGTGCCGCGACGCTTTCGGTTCAGCCGGCTTACTCCCGAGTAAGCAAAGGACGGGACGGGGGCCTTTGTGGTCCCTAACGCACCTCTGGGCGGGCCTCCACGTCAGCCAGCCAGCCGCGCTTCCTGAAACGGCCGAGGGAGCTCCTCCTGCCGGCTGCCAACTCAGGCAGCTGAGTCACGTCCTTGGACAACATCCTCGCCTTCCCTGAGGCGCACACGCGTGAAGGGCACCGTCGGCCGAGATCACGGGCGGGTTGCTCGGTTTTTAAGGGGACCGGCCCATTTATTGTGTGGTCCTCTTATTTTATTCTTTTGACATTAATGAGCTTTAGGGCGGGGACAGACCGCCTGGTCAATTTCTATAGATACGGAAGCGGCCGGCAGATAAATGATGTAAATATATGTCTTTTATATCCACCATTTTTTTGTTTCAAGAAGAAACTTATCGGTGCAGTTGGAGGGGAAAAGGGCAAAATATCGTTGCACTTTAAAATATTTTAGCACGAGCCTTAGTGGACCAAATTCTACTATTTTAGATGCCAAGAGTGGAAGTACCTGACCTCTGTATTTAGACATGTTCCCAAGACGATCAGAGTCATGACTAGGAGAGGATATAAATGTCAGACGAAGCGACAGTGCTTCTGTAATAGAGGAATGGGACTCACACTAATAATTACAGTACTTGGAATAGTAAGCCCTAACCAGGGTGATAAACTGTATGCCAGATGGATTTAGCTGACAGAGAAATGCGAAGAGTAGTTTCTGGGACAGAAGGCCATCTGTGAAAAGAGATAGTAAAGGTAAAGGTTCCCCTTGACAATTTTTGTCCAGTCGTGTTCGACTCTAGGGGGCGGTGCTCATCCCCGTTTCCAAGCCTTAGAGCCAGCGTTTTGTCCGAAGACAATCTTCCGTGGTCACATGGCCAGTGCGACTTAGATACGGAACACTGTTACCTTCCCACTGAGGTGGTCCCTATTTATCTACTTGCATTTGGATGCTTTCGAACCGCTAGGTTGGCGGGAGCTGGGACAAGCGACAGGCGCTCACTCCGTCGCGTGGATTCGATCTTATGACTGCTGGGTCTTCAGACCCTGCAGTACAGCCCACAGCACCACCACAAAAACAGATAACATGATCACAATTGTTTTAATTAGTGTGATTATTGTATTGGTCTGTATGGTTTGTTTTTAATGTGTTTTAACTCTGTTTCAGTTGTTTCATCTACTTTGCACACTTTTTAGTGGGAACATAGGAAAAAATGTTACAACCATAAAATTGCCCTCAATTTATGGAAACCTTATGAATGAGAGATCTTTTAATCTGTCCTGTCCTCAACAGTCCTGCTCAATTATTCTAAAGTGTGTGGCTTCCGTTAGGGAGATAATCTTTTATTGGTCTTTCCTTTTCCTGCTGTCTTCGACCATTCCCAGCATTGTCTTTTCCATAGAATCCTGCCTTCTGATTATGTACCCAGAGTAGGACAGCTTCAGTTTCATTGTTTTTGCCTCCAGAGATAGTTCAGACTTGATTTGATCTAGGTCCCACTTGTTTTTCTATCAATCCAGGGTATCAGCAAATCTCCTGAGTTAATGTTCTTCCTGTAGAATCTCCAGGGGTGGGGGTGGGGGCAGCTGGGCCTCCGAACAACAAAAATGCTACCAACAAACACAATACAATCCAACATGGATCCAGAGATGGCCTGAATATGGCTTCTGGTTGTGAAAAACCATTCCGGGATAGGAGGTTCAGCAGGGGGATTGTATACTCACTATTTTTAGCTGATAGATTGTATTGAAATTGCTGTAAGGCACCTTGGGTTCTAGAGGACGTTCTGCTCTTTTGAAATTGCTGTAAGGCACCTTGGGTCCTGGATGTTCTGCTCTCTTCCTGGTCATTTCATTGGGCTGGCATGTCATTTGTTGAGAAAGCTTCACTTTCTGGGCCCCAAGAATATGGGCCCTGGTCTCATGTGGATCCGGCCCAGCCCTTGCCTGCCTTCCCTTGACTTTTTCAAGTTACAAAAGCTTGGAGGGATGGGGTGTCCAGCTGGACCCAGACTGGGAAGCTAGCAGTGCATTAGATGATTAGATTTAGAAGAGGAGGATACAGGTTGAGATCCCTGGATAGTAGGTATCCCATAATATGGATGTTGGTTTTTGGTATCCATTTTTATTGATAGCAAAAGAGCTTCCTACAAATCTGTGTAAACATCACAGGAACCACATGTGCACGCGCGCACACACACAAGCAGTCATTTGATTTTGTAAGCCACCAACAGCCCTTTTGAGAAGGAAAGCAAGGTAGCAATATTTAAATTTTTTTTTAAAAAAAGGTATGTCTTGGCTGTGATTTTTGGTTACAAACACTTCCTGGACTCCTCTTTCAGAGACCACCCAACCAGTGTGTCTCACAACCTGGCCTGACCCAGGCTTCCATTGCAATAGTCCAAAGAATTTTTAAAAAATGATGGTTCCAAAGCAAAGACAAGTGTTTTCCTTATACTTGTGTCCTTGTTTCCAGTTTGTGACCAGTAAGGAAAACAAGGCAGGCCTCCCATGTTTTGGTTGCCGGGGCAACACTCTTTGTGATGTCACTTTGTGATGCAATTCATCACCTTCATAAACCTCTGGTCCAGGATAACAACCATCCATCTGGTGGGTAACCAGCGCTCAGTCAGCTGTGTTGATCCAGTGATGGTGAAGACCCAGCGCAAGTAAGGAAAACAAAACAGGCCTCCCATTTTTTGGGTGCAGGGGCAACAGTACTTTGACCACTCTTTGTGATGTCACTTTGTGATGCAATTCATCATCTTCATAAACCTCCGGTCTAGGAGAGCAGAAAAGAAAGAACAGCTATCATTTGTAGCATCATGGAAAGAAAATTCCTTTCCGGGAAGGACTGGGACTATAGAGGCAGAATGGAGGAATCTCGAAGTTGGCTTGGAAAGAGAAGTGGGGGATCTTCCAGAAGGAAAGGAGAACTTCAGCTTCTGTGCAGGAGGCAGAGAGCTTTCAGAATAGAACTGAGGGTGAAGGAACTGCTGTTAGATAAGCCTCCACAATGAACTCTCATCGTGGAGAACATTCAATTCCAAAGAGGCAAAACCAAGAAAGAAGCTGGGACTCGGACAAACCTCTGAAAGAACAGCTTTCTGGGAACACGCCATCAATCCACCATGGGTTCATTCAGGGCGATAGAATGACCAGCAAGGGAAAAGTCCCCAGGTCAAAGGAAAGCCAGCTCATGGGGATTGGCAAAGAATATATCAACCTCCAAACACAGGGAGTATGGATGGAAATGAAAAGAAAATTTGTTCCAGCATTGGGAAGTTCACATACTGTACATCTGCTGTCTGTGCTGCATGAGTGCATGCATGCGCCCATCACCACCAGGGTTGCACACCAGGAGTCACTCTTGATGCCCATTTAAGTTCAGTTTCGGTTGACCCCTTCACCTGTGTGCACACTGCGTGAGGCATCCATGCAGCGGTGCCAAAAATTACACAGAGCATTGGGGCAAATCCATATACTTTTATTAGTAGTAGTAGCAATATTATTTTGGTGGTGCCTCGACTTACGAACTTAATCCATATTGTAATGGTGTTCGTAAGTTGAAATCTTCGTACGTTGAATCAGCGTTTCCCATAGGAATGCATTGAAAACTGATTAATCTGTTCCAGCTGTTTTTTGTTCTTATGTTGAGGCACCATTCTTAAGTCGAAGCATTTGTTCCCCAAGGAACAAATGCAAATCCAGTTAATCCGTCCTCTACCACCAAGGGGAGAATTTTTTTTAACCTAAGATGAACTTAGGTTTAAAAAAGGGTAGGAACGGAGGGAGAGAACAATGGGGGAAAGAAAGAAAGAAAGAAAGAAAGAAAGAAAGAAAGAAAGAAAGAGAAAGAAAGAAAGAAAGAAAGAAGGTCATCACGGGCACACAGACCCCTCAGACAAAGGTTTGTGCTTTTAAGCACAAAAAGAAGTCAGAGAGAGAGAAGACAATGGGGGGGAAGAGTTTGGAGTCTAAAACATTTTAAACAAAACACATTTTAAACCAACACCTTTTAAAACAAAGGAATTTTTTAAACAAAATACATTTTAAACCAAACCAAGCACCTTTTAAACCCACCCACCAACACCTTTTAAAACAAAAGAGAGGTCACTTAGCTTTTGGTGTCTTCTGGAGGACATCACAGTGACTTCTGGCTGGAGGATGGCGAGATGGTCATCACTGCAAGGTAGAGGTCCCCCTCCTCTGGCTCTTCTTCTCCAGGGATTCCCTGTCACTGTCTCTTGGCTGCAGGCTCCATCCTGGTGAAAAATCTGTCCAATTTTGTCTGCTTCATCCTGCACTGCAGAATCTTTCTGAAGTGGCTGACCACGTTGTCATTCGCCATGTCCATAACTCATGTCACAGTCCTGTTTGGGTGGTGTCTCTCAAAGAAGTCCTGGCACATGGTCCATTTCTTGCAGATGGATTTTATCTCCTTGCTGCTGATCTGTGGTGCCTGTTCCTCAGTGGAAAGCTCTTCCACAAAAGCTTTCTGCTGTTTGGTTTGCAGTTCT